AAACTTCTGCCGTAAAAAATAACAAAACACCAGTAGAACAAATTATTACTTTAGAAAATCTTAAAACTTGATACAAAAACTGATATTTTGAACACGAAAGTCTTGTACTGTTTACTGATAATCTGCCAGATGTCATAAGGATACGCTTACTAATTTAAAAGTTATAGCATTCTGCTGACTGTAATTGTGTAACTTTGAAGGCGGGTCCATCATCTCTTAATTTTGACTTCCTCCACCCCTGGGGGCCGCAAAGATACTAAACATGGCACTACTGATAGTCCTCAAAGCTTTGTTTTCAAATAGTAATATAGATGGCAGCATCGTAGGATGGCATTTTTCAATAATATTATTTATACATCTGTTTTGAGGAACACCTCTGTAGTCGAAATCAACTTTCAAAATTTAAGTAAAAAATAATAATGCCGTGTTTCAACAATTTTTTAAAAACTTTAATTTCTGCACAGTTCCCAGGAGTCTTGCCTCTAACCAATACATTTATCAACATTTAAAAACTTTAATTTCTGCACAGTTCCCAGGAGTCTTGCCTCTAACCAATACATTTATCAACATTTAAAAACTTTAATTTCTGCACAGTTCCCAGGAGTCTTGCCTCTAACCAATACATTTATCATTCTGCACAGTTCCCAGGAGTCTAACCAATACATTTATCATTCTGCACAGTTCCCAGGAGTCTTGTCTCTAACCAATACTTTTATCATTCTGCACAGTTCCCAGGAGTCTTGCCTCTAACCAATACATTTATCATTCTGCACAGTTCCCAGGAGTCTAACCAATACATTTATCATTCTGCACAGTTCCCAGGAGTCTAACCAATACATTTATCATTCTGCACAGTTCCCAGGAGTCTAACCAATACATTTATCAACATTTAAAAACAATTCTACACCATCTCAAAAAGTAGGTGTCTATTTGCTAACAAATGTCATCCTTTAAAATCATCATGATGATTCGTGTCTTGTTCTTCCTAAGGCCATCATCATCATTCTGGCAGTTATTTTGAGCACAGCGGTATGTTAGCGGACTTACAAGACTGGAAATCGGGTTTCGATACCCGTGGTGGGCAGAGCACAAGATAGCACGTTGTG